CCCCGAGCTCACGGTCCACGGGAGAGGTCCGGGCTCGGGGTGCCGGTCCCGGCTCGGGCGGTGGCCGGGAAGGGAAAGGGGGGGGGCTGGCACCCCGCCGAAAGGCAAGGCGAGGGGGAAAGGTTTTTTCCCCCCGGCGCTCAGTGCTCCGGGAGTCAGTCACACCTACCGGGGACTCACCGGTTGGATTTTAGGGAGTCGTAAGGATTCCGGTATCGCCAGAGTCAGGAGGAGCTGTGGTGTGTCCAGGGCAGGCTGCTCGGCACTGCGGGAGGGGGTTTGGGGAAAGCCCCGCCGGGGACCATCTCTCCCACGGACCCTGGCAGCAGGTTGGGCAAATCCTCCCCAGGAATCCCTTCATTTCTATTTATTCTGATTTCTAGAATCTTCTCGTCTATCCCCAGCGCAAGGGAAGATGACATCGCGGCTCCTCTGAACCAGCAGTGCCCGGGGACCAGCAGAGCCATGGAGCTGGAGTACGAGCTGCCCAACGCCACCGCGTTCTGGTTCTCCCCGGCTTCCCCTTTTGACAACTTCTCTGTAGATGCGCCCACCAACACGTCGCAGAATGCCACAGGACAGCACTTCGACCTGACCAGCAACGCCATCCTCACCTTCATCTACTTCGTGGTCTGCATCATAGGGCTGTGCGGCAACACGCTGGTGATATACGTCATCCTTTGTTATGCCAAGATGAAGACCATCACCAACATCTACATCCTCAACCTGGCCATCGCAGACGAGCTGTTCATGCTCGGTCTGCCCTTCCTGGCCATGCAGGTCGCCCTGGTACACTGGCCCTTTGGCAAAGCCATCTGCAGAATCGTCATGACGGTGGATGGGATCAACCAGTTCACCAGTATCTTCTGCTTGACGGTTATGAGCATTGACCGGTACCTGGCTGTCGTCCATCCCATTAAATCTGCCAAGTGGAGGCGGCCCAGGACAGCCAAAATGATCAGCGTAGCTGTCTGGGGCGTCTCCCTGTTGGTGATCATGCCCATCATGATTTATGCTGGGGTGCAACATAATCACGGCAGGAGTAGCTGCACCATCATCTGGCCGGGAGAGTCGGGTGCCTGGTACACGGGCTTCATCATCTACACCTTCATCCTGGGCTTCCTGGTGCCTCTCACCATTATCTGCCTTTGCTACTTGTTCATCATTATCAAAGTCAAGTCCTCGGGCATCAGAGTGGGCTCCTCCAAGAGGAAAAAGTCCGAGAAGAAAGTCACCAGGATGGTCTCCATCGTGGTTGCCGTCTTCATCTTCTGCTGGCTCCCTTTCTACATCTTTAACGTCTCCTCAGTCTCCGTCCTGATCGTGCCCACGCCTGTCCTCAAGGGCATGTTCGACTTTGTCGTGGTCCTCAGTTACGCCAACAGCTGCGCCAACCCCATCCTTTACGCCTTCTTGTCCGACAACTTCAAGAAGAGCTTTCAGAATGTCCTCTGCTTGGTGAAGGTCAGTGGCATGGACGAGGCGGACCGGAGCGACAGCAAGCAGGACAAATCCAGGCTCAATGAGACCACAGAAACCCAAAGGACCCTGCTCAATGGTGACCTGCAGACGAGCATCTGAGAGGACAGCGGGGTTGTCCTTCCTTCGCTCTCCTCTCCCCACTTGCTCCCAACTGCAGCAGGGTGGTGGCACGTACGGAGTCAGGGCAGGAGTGCCAGTTTAGGGGACGGCGGTGCGCACACCGACGGGCGGCGGGCATCCTCAGCTGGGCTCCTCCTGAGCTGCTGGCAGGTTGGCTTTCAAGTGCTGGGAAGGGTACGGTTCAAGAAGAGCTGCCTCGCCAGGAAAACAAAGACAACTCGTAGCAATGCAGTGCATTTCAACACCAAAGTGCCACCGTGGGCCACAGGTATGGCCGGGGTGGCTCCGCTGGCTTCCCTGGTGTTACCCTTGGGGCTGGTTGGCTTTGGGTGCTTTGCCCCAGAACAGGCGCTTGCTTGCATGTGGACACACACACGCAGCGGGGTGACCTCAGGAGGAGCCGAGGACACGAGTGTGTGCCAATATGTGTGCCACAACAGAGATGCACTGTCTTATAGCAAAGACCTGGTGGGAGCTCCCCAGAGAGTCCGAGCGTGCTCCCGCAGTCACCCTCCCCAAGGAGACAAGGATATTTGGGGTTGCATTTTGTCCAGCTTATAAGTTACTCCATCGCCTCGCCGCTGCTCTTTGATTGCATCGTTTGCAACAGCCACCCTGCCCAGGGGTGGCACGCCAGGAGGGAGGTGGCTGCCCTGTGGAAAAGCAGGTCTGCCGTCCCGACAGCCCGTCTGGTCCGGCCACGCTCCTACCCTGCCTCCTCCGGCCCCACCGTCACCTGCTGCAGGAGAGCCCCTTCCCTCCTCCTGCCGTGACATCGCCTGCCTGCGGGTTTTCTCCTCGGATGAAGGATTTCCCCCTTTTCCCTCCCAAGTAGCCGCTGCCCCTCCTGCCACCCACATCTGCTCACGGGTCCATCCCAGGCTGCGCCAGCAGCCGAGATCACCGCTCTCCCCGGCGAGCCACGGCTGGGCTGGCTGAGCAGCCACGGCACGATCGCCTGGCACCAGTCCCTGGTGGGAAATCCCTGGAAGCATTTAAGCAGCAGCAACACACCGGGGGTTTGGAGCACCCTGGCATGGGCTGCGGCACATCCAGCTGCCAACAGCTCCTGCACCTGGGTGAGACCTGGGCTTGTCCTACCCCTGCCGCAGCTCCGAGGATCGCTGGGACTGGGACTGCTGGCCCCAACGCGCGTGGTGAGCAAGCATCGACCGGCTGCTGGTGACGCCTGCCCTGCTCCTTCCAGGCAAGTCACGGAGGAAGGGATGATGGAGAGGATGAGGGGACGGGAGGTGGGGGGTGCTGGGACTTGGCCCCGAGCCTCATCCAAGCTGAGGGGACCAGGCAGAGCAGACGACAGGGCTTCTAGCACCAAGGCATGAGGAAGAGCAGGGCAGCACACATCCAGCCCCCACTGGTCCCTCTCCTGCACTGCAGTGCAGGAAAGGGGGGACACAGGGTGCAGTCCACAGTGTGAGGGGTGGTGGGTCTGGCCCGGCATCCGCTCCATTTATCTTCTCAAGACCGTCCCGGAGGGCTCAGCTCTGTCCCTGGCTGCCCTTCCAGCTCAGCACACAAACCCCAGGCTCGGGAGCCCTGAGTGCCTGCTCCTGCCCCAGCAAAGCCACCGTCCTCAGCCAGCGCAGCAGGAGCACAAGGGAAAGCCCAGGGGAGAGGGAGAAGTACCATCTTCCTGCCAGAGCAGTTTCTGTGCCAGAGGCCACATTCTGTTCACAGGCTCTTGCTCCAAAGCTGAGCCGTGGGAACGCAGCAGTTTAGATGGAGAAAACAGCCACGTCTCACTCACCCTCCCCTTTCCCATCCCACCCTGGTGTCCCCACACCAGCCCCATCACCGGCAGACGTGGAGCCTTCACCTTGCACTACAAGCAATGAGGAGGCGAGGATGAGCATTGCCCACAAGGGGCTGCCCGCTTTGGGGTGCCGCCTTGCTCAGCCCCGTACCCCCAATTGATGCTCCAAGAGCACCAGCTCTGGGAGAAGTTTTCCTGTGGCTCTTCCTGGCCCCTGCAGCAAGTCCCTGCCCGGGTCATCACACATCCCTCTGTGCCACCCCAGCATCCCCCACCAGCCCCCCAAAAAGGGCTCAGTGCCAGGCTCGATGCCTGCTCCCTGGCACAGTTCTTTTGGACGCCAGCTCCAGCACAGCAGCACTGGCACTGGGGACACATCGGCGCAGGGCTTGGGGGCTTTCTGCGGGGCAAAGCAGAGCATTGTCAGCATTTATTTGCTTTTAACTGTTTACTGCTCCTCTGAGGAACGTGTGTCTGCGTTCAAGTGCTCGGAGGCACCGCGTGGGCTCAGCGCTGAGCGGGCACCTGCCCGTACCCTCGCTGCCTGCGCCGGGCTGTGCAGGCAGCTGCTCACCAAGCGCATGCCCGCACCGGCTTCATTAAGGGAAGTAAAGCTGAACCAGGGCTCTGAGACAGCGCAGGCTGCCCTGCTGATGCTGCAGGAATTAAAACACAAGCAGCGTATCACACTACAGTGAAATATTGCATGGTGATGGCCAGGCCCGGTGCAGCCGGAGCCTGGAGCCTTCTGTTAGGATAAGGCTTCAATGTCATAGCTGCAGTGATGCATCAGCGGGGCTTTGGATATTTCATATTTGGTGGGCGGTGAAGGAGTTATTTGTGTGGAAAGCGGGGGAGGCAATGGGGAGGGGCGCGCGCTGGGCCCCCTGCCCATCATGGGAGCTGATATTCATGCCCCCCAGAACTCACCTGCAGCAGGGTCAGACCCAGACCTGCCGGCGGCCAGCTTCTCCCCGGTCCTGTCCATGCAAGCCCTGCTGCCAACACCCCGACTGATGGTGAGGGGAGATGCCTGTTCCCGGCCGCACATCCATGGGAGTCTCCAGCAGGAGCCCCCAGCTGGGAGCATCTCCTCTCTGTGCTGGTTTAATGTTGAAAATACAGAAAGCCTGGCTTTCTAGCCCTGGGAAGGACCCATGCCCAGCACTACATGTGCCCATGATATTTCTGGCAGCTCAGAGCAGTGCAAGGGGGCTGTGATCTGAAATATCCCATTCCCCCTCTTTGCACCCAGAGGCTGTCTTGGGCTAGGGATAACGGGGCTGCAAGTGAGGAGCAAGGGGTACAGGGGGGCTGCCACTGATGTCCCAAAGGCCACCAAGGTGGGATGCTGCAGGGCAGGAACACGAGGCAGCTCCCAGGGGCTGCCAGGGCACCCCACGGCCACCCTGCTGCAGTTTACCCCAGGGGAAAGAGCAGGCAAGTGAAATGTGCTGCCTTGGTGCTCACAGTGAAATCAGCAAAATAAAACCTTCTGCTGGTTCATTGCTGACTAATAAACAGCAGCGCTGTTGCTGCTGCAAGTAACAAAGTTTTCCTTCCCAGCCATTTGATTTTAGTGGGAACTTGACCTCATACTGGATCTGTTCTGAAAAGCCTCGCAGGACTGCTGGCAGCATAGTGAGAAATCTCTCCCGGTTATTGCAGAGCGAATAGGCTGATCCTGCAAGTACTGGAGTGGCTCCGCTGCTACTTCACACACAGACTGTCCCCGGGCAAGAGAGATTAATTACAGCTCCCGCCTGCCCGGCTAGAGCAGCAGGAGCAGATTTATCACAAATTGGAGGTGATGGGAAGCAGAGACCTGTGTGTCCCATAGAGCTCCGCTGTATGCCAGGGGCACAGATCCGGCCCCACGCTCCTTGGAGCAGGGCTGGGGCTGGTTGCTTTGCTGCGGGTCTGCATGCACAACAGCACTGCCTCAGCTGCGGCTGTCACCAGCGGTGGGGCTGTGACCGGGGGGGGTTTGTGGTGGGTCATGCTGGCAAGAGAATGCCAGTCCCAGCACCTGCGTGGCCCCCCCTAAGCCCATGAGAAACCAGCTCCCCTTCCCCTCCCTGCCACTGGCTTCCCCCTACGCAGACGAGGGACCCCAGCAAAGCCGAGGGTGGGCTCTGCAGCATTCCCAAGCCCCTGCAGGATTGACCTGTGTGGAGACATCCTTGATGTCCCTGCTTCCTCAGCACTTGGGGTCCAGGGACACAAAGCCTGGTGCTGTGGCTGGGCTGAGCATCGCCCCAGGCACGCTTCCGACCATGCCCACCTCGGACCGAGCCCGGCTCCCAACGCTGTGATGGCCAGTGCCTTCCACCCCCCCCACCCCCCCGGAGCTTGATAGCCAAACCCCGCTCTGATGGGCAGGGAGAGGCTGGGTTTGGACCTGGAGCCTTCCTATTGCATCTCTACAGCTCCTCATACCAGCACCAAAGCTGCCTTGGACTTCTTTAAGATAATGATCTCCTAATGAACCACACTGTCGTGTCTCTGGAGGGCTTCCTGACTCTCTGTCCCAACGGAAAGAGCCTTGTCTTTGACGGAGACTCCATGGTCCCTTCCCTCCCAGACCTGCACAGATGCAGGTGGTCTCGTCGGCAGTCATGCAGCCAGCAATCCCCAGCCAGCTCCATCCCCTGCAATGAGAGCTCCCAGACTCCAGATCCGTGCCCCTACTTTAGAGTGGGGCTCGATTCTCACATCTCTGGGGGTTGTTTCAGCCCTTGCTGTGAACGAGCTGATTTCAAACCGCTCACGGAGAGTCTCCATCCCCTCTGCCAGGGCTGCACCAGCCGCACGCCCTGCCCAGGGCTGCTCAAAGGGGGAATTGGCAGCAAGGCATGAGCGAAGGGCACAGCAGACCCCAAACTGGCCTTCCTGCTACTAAGTCTGAAACAAGAGCTGCTGCTTCCCGACCCAAGGACGCGTCTGCGCTTCCCTGCCAGCCTCCACGCGTGCGTCCTGCTAGATTTCAGCCCTTTCCCTGCTTGCTCCAGGACCTGGACTGCAAAAAGCCAGGGCAGGACAGCCAGGCTGCAGCTGCAGTTCAGGGGAAACCAGCCTCAAGCCGTGTCCCAACCAGGAGATGACGAGGGACTCAAAGCCTGAGCACCCCCGCCATCCCACCCCCACGTGGCACAGCCAGGAGGAGGGAAGGGGTGGGTGATTGTACATATATGTATATACTGGATGTGCCAGCAAAAGGTTTTATTATACCGACACTGTAGAGACACTCTGCAGCCCCTGTTTTGCTGTGGCTGCTGGAGCAGCCCCTCCCTGTGCACGCAGGAGCAAGTTGGAGCCAGCCCCTCAGGGGTCCCTTGGGTCCCCCTCACCCTCCCCGTGTGCCGTGGGGCTGGTGGCACTGTGCACGAGCCAGGAGGGACCATGGAGGGTGATCCCGCATTGACAAGTGACTTCTGCAGGGCAAGGGAAGGCGAGCTTTAGCCTCTACTAAACACAAGAGTCCTTCCCTACCAAGCCGGGGGCTGTAGCGATCCGGGGGTCTTCCCCCCGCCCCCACCAGCAGCACTGCACCACACTGCCCACC